GATGTCGAGCAGAAATATATAATTAACACAATACGATTTAATGATGATGAGACCTTATCTACTACTGTTCACTTTTATACAGTCCAATTAATTTTACTACGCACACTTGCGGTACCGTATAATATATTAAGTGGATACGAGAGGAAAAACCGAAAATAGGAATTAAGCTTCCTCCACGGTTTACAAAAGGCATCTTGTTAATTACCAACACGATAAATTACAAGCTACTATCTACCCCATACGTCCAATCTGATAGCGACTACCAAAGCGCTGTCTATACTCTTGTAATTAGGAGATATCGCATAGTGCAGTGATATCGTCAGGTGCCGTCTCTCAAACCGGATCTTTGTGAGTCAATTAAACCGAGCTTTTGTAATTAGCGGTGCGGATAATTAAACAAATTGGTATACGATCAAGGCGCATTTGTCAATTTATATTTTTAATAATCCACCATTTTTTTTCAGATTGATAATACTTGAGAGTGTTTTGTCGCAGGAAGTGCAGAAAAATTGATTGACTTTAGAATAAGTTAATTCATTTAAACATTGGCGGCTGAGAATGCAAAAAAACCGACGTTTGTATTTTATCCGGTTTAAAATGCCAGGAACGTCGTCTAATTGTTTAGTAATGATAATTTTACCCCCTTACATAAAAAAACCGTAGAGCACTTATCCTACATTTTTATTTTCCGCAACTTGTCATAATTCTGGTCGTCGCCCCTTTGGTGAAACGGTTGGCGGATATCCACTCCAGGTGCAAATAGAACAACCTCAGGATGGTTGCGTAAAGACGAGCAAATACTTCTTTGATTAAGCGCGTGGACGCCCGCATTGTACTATTTCGACACGTGCGCGAACGTTACGTGCATAACATTTTTTTTATTGATTTTATTTATTTCACTGCTTCTCATTAGCAAATAAACAGAATATTATTTCACATCGGTTTGGAAAGGTAAAAAATTGTAGATATAGTATTTTTGGTCGATTGGGCCGTTGGGGAGAACTACAAAAGTGAATAATTTTACTTGAACTAACTTTAAGAATATGGGCTATAGCGGTAACGTCGCGCCTTAAGACATGCATAACAAATCATAGAGAGGTAGGTATATCGGTATATATCAATACTCAGGTTTCCGTTAAATATCATAAAGTAGCATATTAAAATTTTACTAGAGCAACTACTTCAAATACTTATATTAAGAATTCTTTATTATATACAGTGCTTTGAACATACAAATCTCCTATGTTCAATTCTGAAATATGCAAGTCAAATACCCTACTCCTTAAGATATGCAACCCATTTCACCTACTTTCATCTTTTTCAAATGGTTTTCAATAAACCTCAACATCTAAATTGTTTATTAAATTTTTATTGTATTCTTAATAAAATGTATAGAAATGAAGAAAAATGGAAATATTTCAGATATATCTCGATAATCGCCGGATTTATTTACGATAAGCAAATTCCGGCAGTTGGCACAATTTACAACAGCAAAAACTGTCATATTGATGGTTGTACATTGTTAATCAATAATACACCAGAAAACTTGCCGTAAAAATGAAGTTAAATATTTTAGCATCCGTAGAAGAAATCTAAACAAATCACGGTTCGTAAAGTAGCTAGAGAATTTGAAATTTCACATATGCCCTATTGAATTCGACAATTCACAGCAAATGAGTAAATTTGCAGTAACTAAAAAACCACTATAACCACTTTAAAAACAGTTTCACAGTTCATAAGTTTCTTTTGTTAACACTGTTGCCAAATAGGTAGGTATGTAAGGTATGTTGTATACTTACACGTTGGCATATCAATGCAATTGACCCCTATAACCGCTACATACAGGCATACCGTGAAATTTTTATAACATATTAATTACTATAATTGAAAGTTGGAAAGTGAGTATATTTCCTGGAAGGCTTTCAGTAGCTCATTGTCCTTCCTTGTAATCAATGAAGTCCCCAGAGCTACTCTCGTGTGATTGTATGATGCCAACCCTGATTTGAATTTGGATTTGTTTGTTTTTTTTGTTACTAGAAGAAGCATCTCGTATGCAGCTCTTATCAGCAGAACTATTTGAGAAAGATAAAATGGCGGATGTGATTTCTTCCTCTTTTATCTCAAGGCTGGCAACAGGCAAGATGGAATTGGTAAATCCGGGAAATCGATTGGTTCTGGGTGAATCGAATCCTCGGAGGCCGTCACCATCCGATAATAATTATGCATTTTCAATCAATTGTTTCTCGTGCTGCACCTTTGACATTTCTTCAGATTTCATTTGTTGGGCTGCCCATAATTGAACACGTTCCTGCAATAAAACGTATAAATGTATAAAATGTGATATAAAACAGATTTCGTTTGCTAATTTAATTTTTAGTTTAATAAATGTTAATTTATTATACATTTTGTATGTGTATTGGTGTTCAATTTAGGAATTACAAATCAAATTTCCGAAATTTGAGTGAAATTATGGAAATAAATTCTAATTTAAACACGGCATAAGTATATTGTAAGTGTGTCAGATCACATTCCCTGTCAACAAATCTCGTTTTGCCGTAGGTCAAGAAAAAACATCAAACCAGATTGTAAAAGATTGAGAATTAATCCCCGTGCAGATCGATACAGCTGGATTGAGTAATAATCTTCTCTTTTATTTGTTTTTATTATTTTTCATTCTTACTGTAAGTATATTGTTGTAATTTTCTCCTCTTGTGGACTCAAGACGACGACTAAAAATCGCTATTTTAATGTAGCGTTCATGGTAATACGTCGTCGTGTAATTACTCATATTCACCCTATTAGGATAAACGTCAATTTACTTGTTCAGTTGAAAAAGAGCTGTCTTCGGCGGTCTTTGTTGAAAGAAATATGGATCCATACAAAAATCATAATGGCAGGGCAGCTTGCAAATGAACAATTCCGTTCACTCGATTATACAAAGTGGTTTACAGTTCGTGCTCATTAGGGCCCTGCAATCTACTGGTGATAGTGCCAGTTGCCAGTCAAATAAAATAGCGCCGTCAACTTTTTCTACAGCCTCTATAGCCTTCGGTAGTCTGTTACGGATTTTAATGTATTAAACGTATTTGTGTGCTTTCTTTTGAAAATCAAGGGTTGCAAGCGAAAACAAGGAACTTTTTCGCTACTTGGAGGTTTCAGAAAATTCCACATGCTCCTCTAGGTTTAACACTTCAAGTGTACGTGTACTATCTAGATCGCCTTAAAAAATACTCCAAGGGGACCGACCTTCGCTCTTTTGGTGACAAAAAGTAATTGGTCTGCGAGTCGGACCTGTTACATTCGTACTTATAAGTATTGAACGTGACCATACAAGTATACAGGGTGGTGACTTGATTAACGCGTCATAGGGATTTCAATGTAAAATTCATAACATGCGATTATTATTATTATTATTATAACAAATCAATATCATCGTGCATACTATGGTACGTTGAAAAGTGACACTACCTCCCGGACTATAAAATACGGATCAATTCCAATTTTTTAACTACCAATAATTGGTGTTCAAGTTGGTCCTCCTCTATTCTCAAATTAATTATGACTCGCTTTATGACTTTGGAAACCTGTCACTCATTGTAATGAAATTTCGCCGCTCAATAAATCCACTGTTCCTGGCTTTTTTCTTTAAATTTTGCCAAACATTTCTTCCGATATTACGCTCACTTAAGTTCCGGTATCGTTTAAAATTGAATGCATCAACTCCTCCAAGCGTTCTATAATAATGGTATGGCATCCGGCAAACCTTTCTTCTTTTTTGGTCTCTTCGGCACTCTCTTCCCCAACCGCCCAATGAGGTTTTCTAATCTCCCTCATTTGACATCTTGGGGTATAACTTCTGTTGCGTTCTGTTCTCCTTTGGATTCTTGCAAGGTCTCATTACTATCCTCACTTTCTTGTTTGGTAGTTTGTTATAGTTGTTATATACATACATCTACATGCACCCAGTCGCTTAATTACATTGAATTAATTTACCTTCTGCTGTCGGAGTTTTCATGATTTTCCCTTCTTTATTTCTCCCATTTCCATTGTTCCTTGCACTTTCCTCATTCCTCAGGTGCTTTACCTTTCTGCCTCAACTTTTTCCAAGTGTTAAACTATGTGACCTTCAATGCGGTCTTAGTTTTCCCCAGCCCAAAGTATTAAGACGTAGCTTTACAAATATGAATAGTCTCAAACTCCACAAGCCTACTTGCCTTTCGTCGGCGCGTTTAGATTATTGTCATTGGCATTCATATATTATCCTCGCCATTAGAGATTGCCGGTACGTCATAAGTAAATGATTCTAGCTATCCAAAACTTTTATAGTAAAGTCACATGAAAAACAGCACATCAAATAAAGACAGTGAATATTCGAAGTGCATTTGAAGGAAACGAAGTGAGTTATTGAATGAGATAATGTGGTAGAAAGAGAAAAAACAAAAACGAATAACTAATGCGTTTTGTAAACCGTATGAATTCAATCAGTTTTTTTGAGAACTAATCCGTCACTTACGTGTATCCTATTAATCACTTTAAACTCTCTCTACGAATTCCCATGTCTGCAAAGGGTAAAACTTTGCATGCACAAGCACAACAGCTTGTGTTAAACTTAGTGCAATATTTTAAGAAGGAGAAAGAAAACGGTGATCCATTGAAACCCGTATCTGCTGTTCAAGAAGTAAGTGTGATTATATATACTTATATTTTCATTTAGTACAAACACAAAATTATAGCGAATGGCCAACGATTTGGGTATATCTGAGAGGACGGTGCGAAGCATCAAGACAAGGGCGGCATCTAACCCTGTTTTGGAAAGCCCGGGTAAGAAACGGCCCCGCAAGTTTCGTTAAAACATTTCTACACACGTTCTATACTGCGTAGGGTAGAAGGAAGATCAACATCAGGATCCAGTTGAGAGGCTGCTTATTTCTCATTTCTGATTCCTAGTAATCTAACACTGTGTTAAAAATGTAAAAAAAAGTATAAATATGAAATAGAAGTACAGTGATAGTGACAGCGTCGTATATTATAATATATTTTGAACATAATTAATATCCATTTAGTGTATCATTTTGAATTTATCCTTATTGTAAGCCATCATAAGTAACAGTGAGTAACTTTGAAACGTGGTAGTCTTGCAAAATGTGCAGCTGGGTGTATGGAAATCGAATAACCTATGAATTGAATACTCTAATTGTAAATTTATAATTCTTTATCGGCAAACTCACTTATGAATGCAAGACCCGACCATTGTAATAATTCTGACGTAGCGTAATTACTAAATGTTCACATTTTTGGAAAAATTCCATTGTAATGAGGCAGCTTACAAAAATGGGTTTATCTTCCATATGGCCTGTAAAAATAACGCATTAATGACCTGTTAGATTACAAGGATTTTGTTTTCTCACCGTCTTTATTACGTTAATAACGAAACTACGATATTTTATTCCAATTAAAAACCAAAATCGACTAACGATACTTTCTGCGATTTGACAGTTTTGCACCTTCAAATAAACATCCAATAAATGACAGCTGTCGCCATCTCGGAGTATATTTTCTAATCAAGTTCGCATTATTACGGAAGTAATTTGACTCATATTTTTCACTTATAATTGCACAAGAGGTTTGTATTTTACCGAGTAAATTTGGGTTGTTTAGGTAATGAAAATCTGTTGCCTAGCAATTAGACGAAACTGTCAACTAATAAAAATGCGACACCGCAGGTGGAGCATTTTTAGGTTGACAGTTTTTCGAGTTCAATTGCTAAAAGGAAACAGATTTGAATTGCAACAACCCAAATTTACTCGGTTTAAATACAACCCTCGAGTGTAATTCGGCAGGACAATTTAACGAACAAGAAATTCACCAAATTAATCAATTATTGACAGACGTCAAACTAGTCATATGGGTAAGGATCATGCGATTATTGGTTCGAAAATGAATAAGTGAAAAAACCACTAGTGCATTTGTCGCTGGAAAAGTTGCAGGTAACTTTTGCCGCTGTCAAAGTGACAATTTCACTGCGGCTTATGCGATTTTTTATACATGAGTTGAATTGTCACTTATAATTGCACAAGAGGTTTGTATTTTACCGAGTAAATTTGGGTTGTTTAGGTAATGAAAATCTGTTGCCTAGCAATTAGACGAGAAAAACTGTCAACTAATAAAAATGCGACACCGCAGGTGGAGCATTTTTAGGTTGACAGTTTTTCGAGTCCAATTGCTAAAAGGAAATAGATTTGAATTGCCACAACCCAAATTTACTCGGTTTAAATACAACCCTCGAGTGTAATTCTGTAATTCGGCAGGACAATTTAACGAACAAGAAATTCACCAAATTAATCAATTATTGACAGACGTCAAACTAGTCATATGGGTAAGGATCATGCGATTATTGGTTCGAAAATGAATAAGTGAAAAAACCACTAGTGCATTTGTCGCTGGAAAAGTTGTAGGTAACTTTTGCCGCTGTCAAAGTGACAATTTCACTGAGCGGCTTATGCGATTTTTTATACATGAGTTGAATTGTCCGAAAATTATATTTGAATTTATGCAATTAATAGCCTCGTTGCAAAGGCCTGTAACTTTTGATCCAGTAGCCCGATCATGGAACTGATTGAAATTATGGATTCTACAGGCCACATTCTATAAGAAAAATTTTTTTCCGTTCGATCTGAGACAATTTTTTTTTCAGGCCAAAAAAAAGGCAGTGTACAACCTTCCTTTTTTACCAAAAATCGACTGCACCAAAATTTCTCGGGGAAACACTTTTTCTTATTAATTTTGGGGCGTAGAATCCAAAACAATTCGTACTTTTTCGATTAGACTTCTCAGAAAAAAGTTATAGACTAGAAACCATTTTCGACCAAAAATTCAAAGGGCTGTAACTTTTGATCCAGTAGCCCGATCTTGGAACTGCTTGAAATTATAGATTCTACAGGCCTCATTCTATACAAAATTATGGCAACATCTAACTCCTCATCCAGGTCGATGGTTTGCTGCAACTGAACGCTGGTGTGACAAAAACAACCTGTTTTATTGTCGTCCCTCACGTAGAGAGATCGCCCAACCCCATCCCTTGTACTTCCGAAGACGAGAACCCTGAATGGCAGTCAGTCAAGAAAAAAAGGGAGAGGTCGTCACGACGCACCAACCTTCAACAACCACCACCGGGATTGCGCGTCCATTACCAACAACACCACCTCAGCACATCATTTTAGGTGCAACAACGTTGGTTTCGCACTTAGTGTAGACGGGAACCGTTGTCACTCTTTTTCACTCTTACAGGAGTCTGCAACCAATACGAAACATTTGAAACGTCCTGTATGTTTGGATTTGACGCATATGTTGCTATCTTCGTTCAACACACCTGATCCAATTCGTTTGTTTATATTTAAAGAAAAACCTTCCAAAATATATTAATAACTCAGTTTTATGATGTAAAAACGTTTGCATGAAGATGAGCATCATCAAAGTGAGTGAATTATACCTGAAGGTTAATAAATCAGCGAACTTTTCAGGATGAAATTAGTACAAATTCGCTTGGTGAATGCTCAAATGATCGAAGACTGTGGATAGGCAACTTAGATCCGAGAATAACTGAGTAAGTATACAGTAATGCGGTTGTTAACAAATGAGACTTACGCAATGCTTTTCCCTCTACTGGTACCAACTATTAAAACTAATGCAAAAACATGGTGCCATTGAAAAATTCGATCTTTTATTTCATCGTGCGGGTCCTACGGCCGGACAGCCAAGGGGGTATGCGTTTGTGACGTTTAGTAATAAGGACGATGCAACTTTAGCCAAAGAACAACTCCACAACAAGCAAGTCGGAACCAAAAATATTATAGTCACATGGGCACACAGTATTACGACCGTAAGTCGACCGGATTTCTATGCACTTCAGAATATGCTTGCTTAAAGTGTAAATGCCAAAGTATTCAAAAATAAGTTTTAGGGACGCATTTATGCAATTGCATAGAAATCCTACTTGTAGTATTCGTTGCGAAAAAAATGTAAAGATGTTTTGTAGGAGGAACCGGAGAAGGCAAAAACCAGCATAAACATCCCGGCGTTGGCTATGGCTAAATTGGAAAAGAAAGTCAATCGAGAATCTCAAATCGAAGCGATCGAGGCCAAGCTGAAATTAATGGAGAATAGAAACGTCGACGAATTGGAGATAAACAAAACGGTCGCAGCCGAGCCCCCAATCATATCTCTATACCAAAATAAAAAAGCCGACTCGTCAATAAATAATTGTAATGGTACAAAACATAGGTATAATTTAAAGCGGAATGATAGACGCCGAGCACCTTATCACAAACACAGTTTACGAAAGTAACTTCATATAATTTATATCGTCATTGTAAAAATAAATCTTTTATCGATTAGCCTTTTATAAAATGTATGAGAAGTGATATTATTAATACCACAAATGCGATCACTAGACCCATTATGTACTTCTTCCTGTTGGTGGAACTGGCCAGGATATCATCGCAGTCGGCTTCTGGTCCCTCGAGGGTCATCTCGGGTATATCTAAAATGTCATTGGTTATAATGTGAGATCGGTAAAACTGCATTTATAAACGGATAGTATGGCTTATAAGCAACACACAATGCAAATGACTCCTCTGAGTGAAAATAACTTTAGGGTAATAACAGGTAGGTAAGCATTTGACCCATGACTCACTAAAAAATTTTGTTAACAAAAGGGGCCAAGAGAAATCGCTGGAAATTATTTTCAAGTTTCTAGATTCGCCGCTAGAGGGTGTACGATTCCACCAATCTAGGGACTTTAGGTTAAGCTAAAGTCACTAGATATAGAAAGTACCGCAATCATCCGCCATTTTTGGGCAAATTTGCTGCCAACTTAAAAAAATTGACAAATAAAATCTGAATAACTGTCATTTTTTATAACCTAACTTCATAGTACTGTCATGTTTTATAAAAATATTTACAGATATCTCCAAACAGATGGAACAATCCCTAACATTAAAGTTACTAGAATCTGGCAACTTCCGCCATTTTTGGGCAAAAATCATGCGTTCTCTCTCTAACACACGAGCCCAATGGATTGCGGTACTTTCTATATTTAGTGACTTTATGAAAACACGAATATTACTTCTCTTTACTTATTTGTATTGTAATCTAATGTGTAAAGGCGATATAGGACTACACAAACCTCATTACTTTATTGAGTGGTAGAGCCCAGTTATACCAATGATGTCATGAACATATGCGCAAAGGCATACATTGTCAGATATTTTTATTATTAAACCTCTACGAAATGAAATGTATTTTATTTTGAGAAACAAGAAGGGAACAACATAATATTTGATCCTTCAAGCCGAATCAAATATTATTTATTTAATTTCGTAGAGGTTTAATAATAAAAATGTCTGACTGAATCCTCACTAAAAGATCGAATGGTAATCGCGCCCATTGGTGCACGAAGCGCTGGTCTAGCGTTGCACGCCCTCTACTAACGGTCACATAAAGTGACAGCCGCCATCTTGAAAAAAGGGGTTCAAATGGTTTTTATGGTTTATCTGACAAACTATTGGTCTTACAAAACATTTAAAAAAAAGCCACATCGTGTGTAAACCTTTAAAAATATATTCCTTCTCCCACACCTCTTGATACTTTCATATACAGTGATATTTATTAAGAAGTAGACATAGGGATTTATGTGGATTGTCTTTCCCTATGTCTACTTCTCTGGCTTCAGAGAAAATAAATGTCTTACGCTCCTTAAACAGTCACCGGAATTATGCCAATTGACAATATCAATTTTTTTTTCAGTTTAATACATCGCACATGAACGAAAATTTAAATACGGAAGCCAAAACAATATTCAAATTAATTAATATGACAGGTAGATCTTCATTTGTTTTAAGAAGTTATTTTGGTTGCATAAAATTAGGCGCCCTTCAGAAAAAATTTATTATTTAAATGTAGATATAGGGAAAAACAATACACGTAAATTCCTATGTCTACTTCTTAATAAATATCACTGTAGACACTAAGTATCTATTTAATCTACGCTTGAATATTATGCAATAAGGCCATTTAGCTAACAGTAAACACGCCCTCTGTGAATTGCATCCAGAACTAGAGCATTGCCAAACTTACCACACTATCCGTTTGTAAATGCAACGGTAAAAACTTACCAGGCTGTCCTTCCACGTCAAAAATAGCATCCGGTTGAGCAATCGTAATATCTAACAATTCGGACAGCGATATTTGCGCCTCCTGAGAACCTTCCCCGGGAAAAAGATAGTCGGAAAGTGTCACTTTGGTCGTGGGCAAATTGATCAAAACTCTCCTGGGAGTTTCATGCACGCTATTAGTATCTACAAGCACTCATTCGCCTTTATCCCGACGTGACCGTACTAAATTACCTTCGGGTGAACCGTGCTCCTCCTCGAGCAGAGAATCCCAATGCATTTCGAGACGTGCCGCCAAACTACGTACGATGTCCTGCATAATCGCGTCCGAGGCGTACTGCACGGTCGCCTTCGGATGCAGCCAGACTTTCGAGGCGACGTGACCGGTTAAACGGATCTGCCCGCCGGAATTTAGAATTTTGACTTCGGGTGCTACATCTCCACCCTAAAAAAAAAAAAATGTGTTGCTGCTTTACGAGACCCACTTACCATCGGTAACACGATTGTAACTTGCATTAATTTGTTCTCGTCTTCCGGCTGTGACAACCTCAGGTGGGATTTCTGTTTTTTGCCTATGGTCTCCAAGCACTCCTTGCCGTCTTTAATTTCGCCGTCGAAAAAGTACACGGCGGTTTGCAAATTCATATTTATCAAATGTAAAATTTCGTTCATGTGCTTTTTTAGCGGCCAGTTCGCTCTCTCCGCGATAATCGGAAAAGTTTGGTCCAGCTCATATTTGCATTCGACCTGTAGCCATTTGACGGCGAGATTGGATTGGAACTTTATTTCGGCGTTACTCAAACTGAATGTGTCGTAATTGTAACTTTTGCACACGTAGCGGGACAATTGGGAATAATGCAGGACCAATTTTTCCGTCTGTTGTGGAGTGCCGTAGAGAAATGCGTTGGGCGTAAGTCGCTTGTGTATTTGGGACAACATGGCTTTTAGTTTAGGGACGCATGTGGCGAATATATCTTCTTGGCACACGACGAAGAGTCCCAAAACGTACATTCCGCCAGGTAGCATTCGGGTAACGTGCCTAGCGTGATCCGCTACCCAAGAATCGGGCACATCGGCGAATTTCTTAATCGACTGTTCCGCATCGCCTCTGTAAGGGGGTGTTCTTGTAAAGTGAATGATGAAATCTTTGGCATCGGTCCGCTGAAATTGAGGAATGGGTAAACATATGTTGTTAAGCTGTCTCCTGTCTACCTGTCCTAACATCAAACCCACTGTAGGGAATTCCAATTTCGTAAACGTGTCCAAATATTTCAAAAAATTTTCGTCGGTAAAAGCGCTACGAACCATCTTGTTTCAATAATCAGCGAAAACTTGGAATAAACCACAAATAATCAGGACATTTAAAACTGGTGAATGTTTAAGGTTAGGTTCGAAATGAAATCTGAAAATTAGGTTGGTATCAGCATATTCTACACCGTTGGTATAACTGGAAAAATTTAAACCGTTCGCGCCAAGAGCTTAGAGGTGGTATGTATATACAGTGCACTGCAAGTAAATCGCGGACTTGTCTTTCACTATTGACCTTTGTATAAATTTATAATTTCATCTTTTCATCTCTTTAGACAGCATTTTTGAAATTTATCTGCAGGGCGGGTGATTTGAAAGTGACAGTTGTACATTGCACCTACTACCCATTTGAACTACTCCTATTAGGTTGACGCAATTTTTTTTTAATGGAACATAGGCAACTAACATTGCATGTAAAAACTTTTTTAAATTAATTATCAATTAATTAATACAATTGTACACTTACTCGGCTTTCCCGTGTAGATGGTATAACTCTTAAAAGAGATCGCTATTGAGAATAGAATGGATTCTCTTTTATCTTATTTTAAGCACCTCTGCTCAGAGTCCAACACGTACTAGGGTAGGCAGGAGTGGCTAATCCCTGGGTCTTCCACTTTCCTGTATATACTTGTGGTAAGGTTTCCCTTATGACCTTCAGCAAGTCATTTTCGAGTCCGATTTCTAGAAACTTTACTCGCCTGTATGGGCCAATTCCTAATTAGTCCTTTTACCAAATGATGGTAAAAAATGCAGACCCGGGTGCCGAGATCCCAAGCCCTTGAACGAGCAGGGAATTCATGCAGGTAAGTAAATGTTAAAACAAATTTTACAAATATACAGTGTAATCATCATAAAAAAGGAAAATAATTATTGGCTACTGCTACCGCCATACAAAATCAGTTCCTACGACTGCTTTTATCACATATATACTTTTTACTATGAAGACAAATCATCTCCCACGTAAATCTAACTATTGATTCAATTTTTTTTGCTCAGAACCTTGAACACATTTCAAGAAAACATTAGTACAATTTATATACCTACCTAAGACTCTGTTAATTTTGAGTAAAGCTTACAATCCAAACAATTACGAACAAATAAAAAAGAAATTTAAAATATAGAACACTTAAGTTTACTATAAAAACTAATAATAAATTTGTACAATAAATTAAAATTAGTTACTTAGTTAGTTACTTAGTGGTACCGTTCGCCTGCTCTTGCAATACCGCAATTTTGTCACAAGCGTACCTTATCTTATCAAACAGAACCATACTACAACCGTTCTTTTCGATCGACGCAAAACGGAAAGTGCGAAACGACGTTTCGTCAATTAGGGTAATCGCCGCCATCAATGGGCACATAATGATCTTGGTGTGATCCGTAAAGTTGATCTGGAAGTTTCGATTAACGTTGAGAAGACTGTGATTCGGTAGTTACCTGTACAGTTCCGTTGGTAAGCACCATAAGTACACCGGAAGTGGATCGACACCATTGGTGCAAGTGAGGTATACGTGACAAAGAGTCCGCCTCGCGTACGACCGAAGCGCCCGCCTTGATTAAATGATCACGCATGTAACGATTAAAGTACGCTAACAATTTCATTTTCTTCTCCATGGTTTTTGGATAATTCTCCATGGTCATGTATGATTCTTCTCCAGCTCTATCTATGTAATGCACGTTTCTGAAAATCGTGCCTCACTAAAGTCGGGTTGACGACGAGATTCGGATACTTACATCCCATTTGGAAGCATTATTAGTTTGGTGGTATCGTTAAACATAACTCCGACGCTATCGTCGCATAACTGATAACCGAAACCGTATTTATCCGAATAATCGACCCATTTCGACACCCATACCAAAGGCTGTGCGGCAGGATCCGTCATTTCATCACCGAATTTCTGGTTGCGCACTGGTCTCGAGCTGATTACCTGTAAATGTGGTTTATGTAGTTCCAGAATTCATTTTCCAGAGAAACTTAAAATGGCGCCGGCGCGCGGTGTTTAAGTTTTGAATTGAGTCACTCTCTCACTTAATTTTGTCAATTCTTTAATCGAAAAAGGAAACTTTTTATTGGCCTCCGCCAAATGTCATATTTTTTTAAATTTCAAATAGCACTCCCTATGAGTAGCCGAATTTTGTTCATCACGGAATAATCCCCACTTCTATTTGTTAAACTTTGTAGCACGCTCAAAATGGCGCTAATTAGTTACCGCGAACATCTTTAATCATGAACAAATCGGATTGGTTTCCTTACCCCAATCAAATGCGTATAAAGGGCGTCCATCCAAATCCACGGCTGTTTAATATTGCCAATTCAGGGCTTCAAACGAAACCCCACATGATATCACCATAAGTAATCCTGACTGAGCGGTTTTGGGCACATAAAGCCCATTAAGATAGTATTATAGCTTGTTAACGTTCGTCTAACTTTCCCACCTACTGATTTTTAAAATCTTTAAACAATTCGCAATGCCTAAATGTGCTACCCTAACGAAATTCAACTTTACAAAGTTCCAGTAACAGATTGTTATGGAAATACGTGAATTCTTTTTGAATTAAGCCTGTGATTTAATTTCAAGTGACTTTTCTGACTCTCCTGAATGTACCGGGTGACCCAATAAGACTCTTCCTCGGCCATATCTCGAGAACCGAGAGCATTTTTATTTATTAATTAATTAATCTCATTTTCGCAATATTTGAGGTTACGAACGAGATTTTGAAAAACAGTTTTCCTGGCCTCCTTGGATGTTATTTGGCTACTTTTTCATAAAGAAAAAGTCATATCATTCCATTTGATTTTTTTAGGATTTTGGGTCGTAGTGTCAAAACTAGCCCCCTGGCGGAGAAGGATTCAACTAAGTTAACTATATTTTGGTTGATCGTTGTTGCCCAAGGAATGCTCTTTTTAACGATACCAAATTTGTTACAATCGGTGAAGAAGTTAAAGTTGAAGAATCGCTGGAAAATATTTTCAAGTTCTAAAAATGACCAACAGAGGGCGTAACTGCCACCTTAAATTTTAAAATTGCATTTTCTTTAAATTTCGCATAATCAACTGAAACATTTTTTTTCACATTTTTAAAGAGAACCAGTTTATCATTTTCGTAAAAACAAAAACTTAGCTATTTCAAAAACAAAGATGGTGTGGGGCATTTTAGAATAGATTATAAATTCAAAAAAATGCACTTTCTGAATGTAAACACTTCAGAATAATTTACAAATTATGGCTGTTATTATTTTATAATGAATCGTGTTTCATTTGTTTAATTTTCCAAGGCCCACCTAAAAGTGTAGGGTACAATTTAAGAATTTTAATTAATTAAATCATTAATCTCATTTTCCCAATATTTGAAGTTAGGAACGAGATTTTGAAAAACGGTTTTCACTGCCCTCTTTGGGTGTTATTTGGCTACTTTTTCATACAGAAAAAGTCATATGATTCCATTTGATTTTTTTAGGATTTTGGGTCGTAGTGTCAAAACTAGCCCCCTGGCGGAGAAGGATTCAACTAAATTAACTATATTTTGGTTGATCCTCATTGCCCAAAGAACGCTCTTTTCAGCCATACCAAATTTGTTAAAATCGGTCAAATAGTTAACAAGTGAAAGCTGGTTATTGCAAAAACAATTGAACGCCCCACACCATCTTTGTTTTTGAAATAACTGAGTTTTTGTTTTTACGAAAATGATAGATAAACTAGTTCTCTTTAAAAATGTGAAAAAAGAATGTTTAGTTATTTATGGGAAAATGCAATTTTCAAATTTAAGATGGCAGTTACGCCCTCTGGTGGTCATTTTTAGAACTTGAAAATATTTTTCAGCGATTCTTCATAACCGATTAACCCAATAATTTTTTTACCCCTAAGGCATACAACAAACGGTTCCCAAGTAATGGCCGAGGAACAGTCTTATTGGGTCACCCGGTACACACAACTATTATAATACAAAACAACAAACCTGACACTAGGTGTCAAAAGGCCATTTTGGCTCAATTAGCAGTTTGTTTTTGTCTAATACACTGGCCTATTGAATCGCGTTACTTTAGTAATATAGGGACTTTATCGAAACCCATTCGAAACAAAGTAGGAAATAAACATCTGACAATCGTGCAGTGTCTAAAACACAATAAACTGTACCGCGCGCGTGCTTTGGAGTCGGGGAGTCAATAAATTATTTTTGATTATTAAAATGTCTTTAGCGCATTTCCACAAAACAAAAAAAAATGCGCTATTGTGGCCACTTTGTCCGTACGTCCATCCGTTGGGACCCTACTAGTTCTTTATCTTAAGAGTTTTTTAACTTGTTTTTTTATATTTGAGTTTTTAGCGCCGTAACACAAACAAATGTAAAAAAAGCGAACGATGTGCGTTTTTTGGTTTGAGCTAGGACGCTGTTTTGTCAAGAATTTGGCACTTGGTTTTAAAAATGCCAGACTTGGATTTGCTTACATTTTTTTATGGAATGTGTAGTTTTTTTTGGTGTCAGTGGAAATTTTGTATTTTCCAAAGCTACAATCTTTTTATGAAATGGCGAATGAACTACAGAGGCAATGAAGGCCCCATTGAATTACATGTGTATCGCCAGTTGCCTAAGTATTATCCAAATTGCCACCGTTTCTAAATAGCGAGCTAAATACATCATTGGTGCCAATAATTTTCCTATGTATGATACAGACCAGAATGAAGTCTCCCGAAAATACTCTCAGAATACATTAGCAAAGCGTCCTGAAAAATGTGGCGACTCCTTTCACAACATTACCTGCAATAACATATCACGAAGAGCACTGAAATTATTCTTAACAGTTAATTCGTTCGCTCTCAACTGTACAAGCGCAGGCATATCGACTTCCATTTCGTTTGCGTTATCTAAGAGCGAAAATATCAAAAACAATTGCAAGATAAACAAATTAAATACGTACCATTTATTTGAATTAGTGGTTTACGTAGTGGAGGTTTTTCCAAATTGTCGTATCGAGGGGCCATCGTAAGGCAACTAATTGGTAGAGACGTTGGCGTGTAACCGTTCGTTAAAAATTCGTGTGACAACAATTGCTGGACCTTCGGTCGCGACTTCGGATCTGACTGAAGCATCGTCATTATCATTTGCCTAGCAGGCTGGGAAATGGTCGAGGTTAATCTGGAACAAATGACATTGAAGGAAAACTTATCTGCATCCAGTTAGCAATAGATTCCACAATGGATATATGTTTCATCTACCCCAAAAATTACAGCTATGGTCATAATAGGCAATTGCCATGAAAACAAAAAAAAAACAATTGCACAACGGGAAGGGTTACATGTTTATATGCAATCATAGGGTGCCTTATTGACCTTGTAAACAAAATCAAATAGACAATAGTTATTTGTAAAACTAGAGAAGAAAGTGGTTTTTGAACTCGAGTTGAAAAACCACTTTCTTCTTACACATAATTTTTTCTGAAACTACAATCAAAATTCAAAAATTATTGTATGCCATAATTAAGTTTGACACTTAGCAATCTAGATTCGGGTATGTTTCAATTATTAAGATTAACACAGCAATTGTTTTTTACTTTCCTCACTAGAGAGGAAAATCACATTTTCTTCACCCTTTCTAAAGACGAAAGTAGTTGTTTCTAAAGTAATTTCAGAAAAAATATTTGATCTTTATAAGCAACAATAAAATGGTTCACCCATATGGACTCCCTGAAGATGATAATATTCCTCTTTGAACTTTGCATAAAAAAATGTTCATTACTGGAATCTATTGCTAATGTAATGCGGGTGGATAACTTAGTAACCGAACATACTTATAATGGCACTTCTTTATTCGATTATACGTTTCTTTTAAGCTGCTAGTTTCGAACGGCGGCTTTCCGACCAAGAGAGTATACATAATGCATCCGATCGACCAAATATCTACTTCGAAAGAGTGCCCCTTCTTGTTTAGGATTTCCGGGGCGATGTAGTTCGGCGTACCGCACAGCGTCTTCTTAGTTTCGCCTTCGAATTCGATGCGGGCGGCCAAACCGAAATCGCCGATCTTTACGTGAAGGTCGTCGTTCAAGAATAGGTTTCCCAACTTTAAATCGCGATGTATAATTTTATTGTTATGTAAATAATGAACTCCGTTTAAAATTTGCTTCATATAAAATCGTGTTTCGGGTTCCGATAGTGTCATACGTCGTTTATGGAGTTCCATCATCGACTGCAAATCGATAAGTTAATGGACTTTTCACTATAAATGAAATAAATTAGCATACCCGCCGCCTGCATAATTCCAAAACAATGTACACATTCAGACTATCTTCGAAGAAACCGTAAAATCCCACAATATGCTTGTGAGATAAGGACTTGTGAATTCGTATCTCTTGGGTCATTTTGTCCCGCTGATTTTGCTTGGACATTAACTTCTTCGAAACGATTTTCCCGGCATAAGTTCGATTGTTGCTGGTATCGGTGATTTCGTAGCATTTCGCAAATCCTCCCTGGAGACGTTTCGCATTAGTAATCAAGCACACCCAAAACGCATTAAAAACCGCCCAAACACGTGAAGCTCTTACCTTTCCAAAGAATCTACCTTTCTTGTAAGTAATTTTCGTATTAGTATCGACGATTATCTCGGGGATTTCGTGTTTATCTTCTTCTTTCGACATTTTACGGGCCTTAAAAATAGTATATAAAGCGATCTACGATACACTTCCACCTTCAACACAAGACAACAGTCAAAAGGCAAAAGCCGTTACAAAAGTTTTAAAAACTTCAAACTGATTTTTGATAGTAGAAAGCTTTTCAGTTTCACTGTTAAGTACCGATAGATGGCACCACAATATCGAAAACCACTATGTATCGGGTGATCCAAAATAATTGACACGGAGAATTGTTTCCAAATTCCGTTCATTTGTATGTACATGCGCCAGCGAATAGCTTTTTGGTAACTCACCGTATGCAATTATGACGGCTACGTGGATCATCAATCCACCGCTCACGGACTATTAGTATTCAAAGACGAGACACACCCGCACGTTAGTAAGAGAGTGATTATATTGGGGTAAAAAATGACCCCCCACCGTTTTTTTTACGGAAATACACGTTTTGGAGCACCAAGAATCCGAATCAAACAAAATGTCGATCGGTCTAAACCGATTTAAACCTGTGCTAGTCACATTTTTGTAAATTCGTACAATGTGTAGTGTGGCGGGAACGGCATTCCCACTCTGCTTTTTGAAAGAATATATACAAGGGTCAGTCGTAAATGAAGGGTCCCCATTGCTTTGTAACATAGTAAAGATCATTTTATTGCATACAGATTCTGAAATCTTTCACTTTTACCTATTTTTTTGACGTAGCCTCCGTCAGGATCAAAGCACTTTTCAGCTCTGAAAGCTTTTTTATACCCGCAACGTTCCACTTTCCCACAGAGTTGCACAAAAAGGAATAGACAGCTGCTGATGATTGGCCCTTAGTCTCTGGCGTGAATTAGTGGGCCCAAGTGTCGTTTTCGGTTATATATGAAACTAACAATTCGTCACCCTCTTCGGCGCAGAAACCCACCAGCATTTTCGATGCTTTTCTTTTTTTGAAGCATCCGACTCGTCCACCTGGTACACACCACAGCCGTCAAAATCTTGTCTACGGTAGTCCTAGAGTCGTCCCATGTCTGTTCGGCAATCCCTCGCACAGTCACGTAGTTGTAGTCAAAATTAAAAGCAAGTTTAGGATACCTAAGCAGGTAGCAAACATTCTAAAGAAAGGGTGAAATACACAGGATGTGACTTATCTTTGGTGCAATAAAATCCTTTTGTTAAAAGATGAAAAATTACATGGCCTTGTAGACCAATTCGACTAACGGCAAGATATGTGGAAATTAGCGAATCGTAACTCATTTGTCGCATATAGATTCTAAACCGAAGAGTTTTTGATTAGCGTAATCTTTCCCCAAGATAGATAACTCGCCCCTTGTTTCGGGGTTTCGAGCCTACAGTTGAATGTCGAAGACAATCGCGGAATTAGGTGTCGTAGCTCAAATGATTTTTTACCACCCTCGTGACTGCTTCATTCACGGAGAAAATGTTAATTACAAACAACAAGTCAGGTACATACATCAAACGAATCGGTAAATTCCCCATATATTACAAGAAAAATCAAAATTTATATGAATATTACTTCTGGTCAAGAGCATGTAATCAAAACATAAACATATTAAGCAAGCATTATACAAAAAACGTAAACGATTACAAACAGAAGGATATCTGTATCAAATGTGTAATTCTGCATAAAGGTTAAATCAAGTCAATTTCAAAAGCATAGATTGAAACTCACAAAAAATATAAAATGCTGCATACAAAACACAAATACATCATAAGGAAATGCAAAGATTACTACCTGCATTAAATAACACAAAAATAACGACAAATGTTTACGGAGCGACGCGTTCGCGACCGCAACCGACCTAACGTAACTAACGTTCCTGCTCTTAGATGGCGCAGGTAGCTTTTCCCCCTCCTAAAAATTACGCGGTTGTCAACTCTCAAAATTGTGTGCATCGTCGTAAGTTGTATAAGTATACAGCGTGGACCCTCGCTCAACTACCGAAAATTTTCATAGTGTCCATTGTTGTGCACACATTTAGAGTAATGCAAATTTAAGTCAAAATTTATAAAAAAAACATCAGTAATAACATTTAAGGTATGCAAAGGTTACGTAGCGAACGATTGAAATGTAATTTTTGTATGACGCCATCACGAACTTTGCCGAACGCGTATTTAATTAATTTTGCCCTTAGTTTAATCATCTCGCATGTCTATGGTTTTAATACGGAAATCGTAGAGGGTTTTCAAAAATTTGAAAAGTTTCATAACCGGGGATTTCATGTTTAAGTATTCAATTCTTGAAGAAAGAATTTTAAAAACAAATCTCGTTTGTGGCGTGTAGTGTTTGTTGCCTATAGTCGTGTCAATGACAAGCGCGGATACTGCAGGTGAGAGAGAAGGGAAAACTAAGAGGACAAGCTGTCTCTTACGGTTATGCATCTGACTGGTTCTTCCAATTTGATTTGAATGCAATCACGATCGCTTCTGTTGAAAGAACCAATCAGATGCGTAACCGTAAGAGACCCTGAAGGCCCTTTTTCCTTTCACTATTGGCCCGTTCAGTCCACATGGTAAAAAGTAGCTTTTAAACCTCACTTTGGCGGGCTGGCTGGCAACAAATGCGCACTTGTAGAAAGAAGAGGAGTGTACAATGAATATTCATTGGGAGGTGTACATGAACATACGGGGGCCGCGTAATAAGCGCCAAATGCACCAAAATGCGAATAGCGGATGAACGGGACGTCGGAAGCGGGTACCGGCAAAGGGAATGCGGTAGCCCCCGACAAGCTCTTACTGAAAAGGAATGTGGTTGCCATAGACAAGATCTTATGGATAGTGAAGTCAAAACTGACCAATAGCACAGTATATTTTATCTGGGCTAATAGTAATTAGCATACTGATCTGCCACATAAAAATGCGCTGAAGTTCCTTCGATCTGACACGAGGACTTTGATAATTTTTTGAAGTATAAATAGTCCATATGTATACATTTAAGAAAACTTCCATGTATACAGTACTATTCATTAAGAAGTAGACATAGAGATTTATGTGTATTGTTTTCCTATATCTACATTTAAATGACCAAATCCTTTCGAAGAGCGCCCAATTTTATGCAACCAAAATAACATTTTAAAACAATGTATTCAATTGGCGTTTTGAATTGATGGAAAGCGATTTATTTTCTGTTAAAGCAATAATATTCCAACTAATTAATATGGCAGCCAGATGTTTATATTTCTTTTATATTTATATATATTTTTTATTAGGTGCATAAAATTAGGCGCTCTTCAGAAGTCATTATGTCTTTTAAAAGTAGACATAGGGAAATACACACGAAATATCCTTATGTCTTACTTCTTAATAAATATCCACTGTATACTTTATAACCGTATAGGAAATAAATGTTGTGCTCTTTCTCTTTTGGTTACTTTTTGGGCAAATTCAGTTCGAGAAACAGAAAAATGCACTTCCTTAAGGCTTGATATGCAAGATGCTGGATTTTAAGCAGATAGTGAACTTACGGCCGCGCCCACATAGACCTTCCTTTTGGACCCTTTGTACTACCGCCATGATTAAAGTTGTCCATCTCCCCAGGGGAAAGCTTGCAGAAGAAGTGGCTGAAAGCTTGACCATGCTTGACCTGGAGACCTCAACATTGGATGGTGTATGTGGTTGTTTAACTTACCGTGACCAGTTCGGATCCATAGGTGAAGATGGATATATCGTCCATTCCAAAAAGAATGCGGTAGTGAGAATCCGCTCTGCCTTCCAGTAGAGGCAGACTGCATTATTTCCTGTTGTTAAACCACCCTGTTGTTCACAGTCTTCGTAAGGACGCTCTTATTGTAGTTGTGTATAAATAAAAACACTATAACTTGGACTAAACTAGTTTTATTTATTACTGTTTTAAATCTTTAACATGTCAAGAAGCTTGACACCTGAACTTTCAAAAAACTATACCTACCAACTTAATCCAGGAATAGATAATAAATGGGGCAACATTGCAACAGCCCTCAGGGCCCGATCCTGTACCTGGAAATCCAGTAGACTCTCGGTAAACGATTCTTTTCTGTATAGTATTGAGCATATCTCCCTTGTCAACTCAACTTTAATGATTTTTTATTTATTAAATGGAACGCCCTTAAAAGTCGTAGCAAAAACAACATGATAGA